ATACAGGGAGAGGATTTTGCAAATTCAAAAAATGTAGCTCGTGGAAGTTTCCAAAGGAATGAATGGAGGTTCGTTTGATTTGCATGATGTATGAAGACGGAGTGCACATGCAGTATTCAAATCATATGTGGAAATGAGTGGAAACAAGTTTGGAACATTGTTTGATTTTATGTGCAGGAAGTGATCTATATCTGCATCTGTCTAGTTGTGGAAATTAATGCTGAGCGGCTCTGTGTTTTGGAAGTTTTAGAGCTCACTAAAACACAAAACTTTTTTCTTTTTTTTAAATGGTCTTGTTATCATTTTTAATATAGTTGTGCATTTTTCAAGGCACCAGAATTGAGTAAACATTTATGTCAAGTTTAAAAGAATAGATTTTGGCTTGGCGTTTCATCGTGGTATTTAGAAAATGAGTTGTCTGTTCCAATAAACAACGTTAGACTTTTTTTTTTTTAACACTCTGTATTTCTACATGGCGCAGGTGCTCTAACACATTTTACAGCAGTGTTCCCAAAGAGAACCAGAAATAAAACGCTTGCTTTGGAAGTTCAGCATGGCTTTTCACTTCAGTTGCAGCCTGCAGCTTCATGGAAAGATTTCCCTTGTATAATAAAAAAATAATCACAAAATAATCCTTTTCAATGAGTCATTTTTTAAAAAGTGATTGCCCTGTTATACAAAACAGGGTTTTCTACTGACAGTGTTGCCAGATTGGGCAGTTTACTGCCAATTGGGCAGTTTTCATTCTGATTTTGCTGGGAACTCCGGGAAGATTTTTGTTGAATTGTCGTGTTTTGCCACATATTGTTAAATTACCTTGACTTGTACTGATGTACGTTCATGTTAAAACAGTAAATATACTGTAACAATATATTGAGTGGGCGGATTTTTGTGTGATGAGGTGGTTTTGAACAGATTTGGGTGCTGGAAAGCCTCCACTCTATCTGGCAGCAGTTGTTTCATTTGGGTTTACTGTATAGGACATTTTATCTGCCTGTTCATCTTTTCTTCCAGATGTGTCTCATGCTGCACCCAAAAGGTCAGGTCACCCACTTCCTGCTTGCTTCACTTTAAAAGGCGGGAATAAAAATGACATTTTGCAAACAACTTCCTAACATACTCTCTGCCTCTTTGCCTCCTGCTCAAGGACTCTGGGTAAATATGATCAGGCTTCCGATCGTATCCTCTCTGATTATGAACTGATGCTGCGTTAGACACAAGCCACAACACAGCCAAGCCACCAGATTGAATTAAAAATAATATTTTGCATAATTTCATCACATCATCTGTCCCACTCATTGATGCATTATGCAATAGCAAGATTTGGTATCTGTTATTTCAATGAGGCTCCGCCCACCACATGAGCACACCTGTATGGTTATAGAAAGGGATTGCACCATTGCACTGTGTGGGCAGGTGCTGAAACAGAAGAGTCCCTTTCTCCCTGACTGACTTGTGTTGGCATTTTGGCTGCGTGACAAATGCCAACACGAATCTCAGGATCAGCTCCCACGTCCAACATGTGGGTGTGAGGATTCCCTTTCAGACTTTATGCTTGTCACCACTTTCACCCTTACCTCCCACGTTCTTCATCTCTTTTGTGAACGCGATGTCAGCTTTTTATTACTTTTACCAGCAACATTTTTTTTTATACAATTTCTTCTCTTTTTTCCTACTCCTTTGTTCCAACTCCTCCTCCCACTTTCAGCCTTTTTTTGGTGCTTTTTTATTCACTCCCTCATTTTTTTCTCAGCTGAATGAGACATGATTAAATATTAACGGGGTGACATTGTATGTCTGAGCAGAAGCGTGGTGGCTGCGTAGGATATGAGAGAATCTGTATTTTTATTTATTTATTTTTGATCTTGCCTGCTGCACCACAGTTTCATCAGGGACTCCTCTGGCTGGTTTGTGTGGGCAGCAACAGGTAACACAGATGAGAATAAACCAGCTGACCCAAACGCACAACATCTCCATCCAAACACAGATTAATTCTCCTTCTCCTGCCCTTTCAGCATCCCTCTCCCCTCCATGCATCAGAGGGAAGAGGGGGCCCAAACAGTGAAGTGTTTATCATCTTTATTACTTTATTACTTTTCTGAGTTTTCCCTAATCTGATTTTATTACATTGTTATCGAGTGATGAGTTCTCTCCTCTGTGCACGCTACTTTTTCTTCTTTGCCTCGCCGCAGAGTTTTCCAGCTCGGTAACTGATGCATGGCAGCAGAAACGGATGAAGACAGGAGTTTAGATTTTGTTCAGCTCACCACACAAACACCGTTGTGAACTCAGAACTATCACCTTTCCTCATTTTTCCTCATTGTCGATAAATGGCGTTTAAAAAGCCTAATCTGAAGTGTGCAAGCTTGTCGGAGTAACATTTTCTTCTACAACACCCCGGTGTTGTGCCACATACCTCTAAAGGTGATTTGATTTAATCATAATTACTATTCTGTTCAGTGTTTATGTCTATTTTATGCCCTGCAGTTTTGAGAATTAAAACAACTAACAAGTTGTGTATAAAAAACTGCAGATCAATTGTGATTAATGAGGTTTTGTAGCAATGCATTGTTTCTCCAAACACAACGATGGGATTTAGATGAAACAGATGAGAAAATCAGCTCTGGCATCAGGTATACTTCACAGAAACATCTTTCAAATTAGCTGGAACTGGGTTTTTTTTTAAATCATTTTTACAGTTTTTTGCACATCCCAATTGTAGATTTATGAATTTAAAGTTTTGTTTTGCAGAACAATGATGTCAAACTTTCACCTTTGAGCCAAAAATTGCACAAACGTCACTTTTTTCTCCCACATTTTATAGCGCATACAAAATATACATCAAAACTTGAGCTTCTTCACCCAGAGTGTCTCTCAGTGCTATAAAACTTGACTTGCTCTCAAATCCCCTCAAAGTGCAGTGAGCGCACACTCAAGCTTTCACATTCAGTCATAATTTAACTAAAATTTTCTCTTCACAACTGGAAGCGAAGGGTGGGTTTAACTTGTCTAAATTAAAACATTGCTTAAATGGAAAAATGCACTCGTGTGACCATCAGTTTTCTCCTTCAAGCAATTCTAATATGGTTTTCATGCAGTGACTGTTTGAGGCTGAGTTTTTAGTGTGTGCTTCTGTCTGCCTCTCATTAAAAGACACAGGTGTGGTTTCCATGGTGACCATAATGAGCCATGTCCTTCCATCTCAGTTCTCTTTACAGGTCAGTGTATATTCAGAATGGTTATGTATTCCATGAAAAGTTGTAGAAAATTTTGAGCCGAGCTGTGTGTGCACACTTTTCAAAATGTTCTATTTTAAACGTATAGTTTCAGGATGAGCAAACAATATTACACATTCACCAGCTGCGCCCACAACTTCAGGATTATTTGGCTTTTCTGCCGCAGATCATCTATAATACATGACATTAACAGAGCTTTGCCAGAGGCTGGATGAGAAACGCCCGGGAGAGAAGACCAAAAAGTCCACTTGGAGTTCCTGATGGATGCTGCGACATCATTCACATCAAAGTTCATGCTCAGGCTGCCTCAGAGGAGTCGACGGGGGAGAGGGTGGACTCCAGAAACCTGCTTATCACCATCAAAGTGGTTGGCCCACTATCTGAGTGTGCTGCTTGTGGGACTGAGATTGTTGTGACTCGTCGGACTGAAGAAGTCCTTTGGATGAAAGACGCCCGTTTCAAGTAAAAGAAACCATCCAGAGGACCTGACTGAACTTTGTTGGGCATCATTCACAGAGAATCACTCGTTTCCATTCTGCTTGAATCTGTTCACGCACTTGGGGTGCGTGGTTATAAAGGCGCAGCTTCGCACAAGCAGCATCTCTGCTCAGTCTTCTCTTTTGGGTGTGTGTGTGTGTGTGTGTGTGGGGGGGGGGGGGGGGGGGGGTCCTCAAAGTGTCCAGCCCACGATGTTTCCCAATAAGGTTGTTCTCGTATAGATCCGGCCAGCAGCGAGGGAAACACATTGATTTCTCGTCAGCGTGCGCGGAGCAGAGCAGAGCCGGGGATGCTGGAGCAGCCGAGGGGGGAGCATCGGTATCCCGCAGGCGTCCCCGCAGCTGCGCGCTGCGTTCTTAATGCGGCCCATTAGGCCTCTGAGTGGCAGAGAGATCCCCTGAATATTGAGCATGGAAGGGGGGGTCAATTAGACAGACCGGCCCCGCACCTCGTCAGCAATCGCCTCTCCTGCTCTCATTAATCAAAGACACATGCAGGAGGATGCGCGGGGGGGGGGGGGGGGGGGGGGGGATAAAAGTTAATTTGCAGGAAGTTTGCCTCCACCCAGCAGGGTTTAAACCCGTTGTGGGTCACTGCGCTTTAAACTTATTGGACTTCTCGAAAGGGTTAAAAACAGGTCTGCTCCACGCGCAGGACTTGAATTCCAGGTGAAATGTGACAAACATTTTTACAAGGTGTAAACAAAAGCAATAAAGCTGTTCGTCTGTATAAACTGAGCAGTTTTCAAAGAGAAGAAAAGGCGCCGCTGCCTCTTTTTGTGATCGCTGGACGTGATTTGCGCTCTCTGCCTCTCATTCTCTGCCAAACAGGCGAGCTGCCTCAGGAAGTCCCAAATAAGGACAAGGGAACTGGAAACCCACCGGAATAGGTCCTTATGTAGTCACGACCTTATAAGGCACGGCGGAGCAGGGCTTTCCGGCGGCGGCTCAGCCTGCAGCACAGATGGGAAATCCAAATGAAATCTATGGCGCGAGCGGGACAGAGGGAGAATGATGCTGCTGTCCGCCCGAGCCGAGCGGCCATGAAGACGCATCGATTCGGGACAGAGAGAAGAGAGGTCGGTGTCTTTGCAATTTACTGCGAGCGCTTAATATGAAGTCTCACTTTCTGTTCCCCCTCCGCTGGGCCGGCGTCATGTGTCCTCCACTGCAGTGCCTAAATATGGACTTCCTCCTCTCCTAATATGGACATCTACGTCACGGCGAGAGGATATAAATATGCGGGAAACCTCGCAGCTCCAATAGAGCTCAGAGAGCCGACAAGAGCAAGTGTCAGAGCAGAGATAGAGACAAACACACAACCGAGAAACAAAACAGCAAAAAGTAACAAGTCAGTTCAAAACAACATCCAAGACGCTCCTGCTTGAGTTATTGCAACAACAAAAAAGAAAGTCAAAGTTGATCGGTTGATTCATTTTGATTCATTTTAGGGAATGAGCTTAAAGGACATTTTAATTTTTGGTTGAAAAAAGACAAGCGGATTTTTTTTTCTTCTTTAACTTCCAAGAGGGAAAAAAAAACACACACGAGGAGACCTGGAGATCGGAGGAAGGCTGGGAACAGCATCAGCGCTCTGTGAGTGATCTCGTCCACCTGCGAGGCTCTGCCAGCCTCCCCCTCCTCTGCACGCGACAAGCAGCCACCAGCCCCGCAGCTTCAGCACCAGCAGAGGATGGCTGCAGCCAAGACCGAGATGATCCTCCCTACCCTGCAGATCTCTGAGCCTCTCAGCTTCCCTCACTCCCCCTTGGATAACTACCCCAAGCTGGAGGAGGTGATGATGCTCGGTACTGCGGGGACACCCTTCCTCACCGCCTCTGCACCCGAAGGTGCAGGCTTTGGCTCCGGCGAGCCAGGAGAGCAGTACGACCACCTTGCAGGAGGTAAGACAGCTGCTTCTTTTTTAAATTTTTTAAAATTGACACATTTTCTCTAAGCTGATTGCATTTAGACACGAAAATGATATAAATAAACAGATTTATTTTAAAAAAAAGTTATTTATATTCAGTTTAAAAAATGAATGAATGAAGCTTTTTAAATATTGGAAGTTAACTGTTTTACAAGCTGTGTTAGAGACAACTGTAGCAAATTGTGAGTAAATATCTGCTGAACACAAACAAAATGAAATAACTCTTAAAACAAGTGATGGATAGCTCCAAACCGTGCTCACTCAGCATGCTTTAGATGCTCAAGATGCAAATCTTAAATTCAGCTGAACTGCAGTTCCACTCATCAATTTCCTCTGCTCTGATGGTCTTTAGGAATCTGTGCGTGTTGTGTGTGCAACACAGGAAGACAGAAAATGAGAGTAAAACCGAGAAAGTGTGGGTGAATGAGGTTGTATGCTGCTACAGCAGCTTGTTGATGTAGCGGAGAGTTTTGAGGGGAAAGAGTTTGTTTGGAGGGTCTGCGGGGGAACCTGACGTTTCTGACAGGATTCCTCATGTGCACTTTTAAACATGGACAATTTGATTAATGTCATTGTTTTCTTTGTGCTCTCTGCAGATACTTTATCTGAAATCCCCTTCAGCTGCGAGAAGCCAGTGGAGCAGAGCTACCCCTCCCAGAGGCTGCCCCCCATCTCCTACACTGGCCGCTTCACCCTTGAACCCGCCAGCACGTGCAGCAACAGCCTCTGGGCGGAGCCCATCTTGGGCCTGTTCACCAATCTGATGAGCAGCGTTGCTTCCACGTCCAACTCGTCTTCTGCCTCCGCACAGATCGCCTCGTCCTCCGCTTCAGCCATATCGTCCTCCTCCACCTCTTCTTCAACTTCGTCGACATCGCAGAACTCCAGCCTCAGCTCCTCAATTCACCACAGTGAGCCCAACCCAATCTACTCGGCCGCTCCGACCTACTCCAGCCCCAACTCTGACATCTTCCCAGACCAGGGCCAGGCTTTCCCCAGCTCATCTGGACCGGCGCAGTACCCTCCCCCTGCCTACCCCAACAACAAGACCTGCAGCTTCCCCGTACCCATGATTCCTGATTACCTCTTCCCACAGCAGCAGGGGGAGATCAGCCTGGTGCCCCCGGACCAAAAACCCTTCCAGAGTCAGTCAAGCCAGCCTTCTCTCACTCCTCTGTCCACCATCAAAGCCTTCGCCACTCAGACTGGTTCTCAGGACATAAAAAGTGTCTACCAGTCTCAGCTGATAAAGCCCAGTCGCATGCGAAAGTACCCCACCCGCCCAAGCAAGACACCACCACACGAAAGGCCCTACGCTTGCCCGGTGGAGACGTGCGATCGTCGCTTCTCACGCTCCGACGAACTGACGCGTCACATCCGCATCCACACAGGTCAGAAACCCTTCCAGTGCCGCATCTGCATGAGAAACTTTAGCCGCAGCGACCACCTGACAACGCACATACGCACTCACACCGGGGAGAAGCCCTTCGCCTGCGAGATCTGTGGACGCAAGTTCGCCCGCAGCGACGAGAGGAAGAGGCACACAAAGATCCACCTACGGCAGAAGGACAAGAAGGCAGAGAAGGCAGGAGCTGTGGCAGTGACATCAGCACCGGCGTCAGCCGCCTCGCCGTCCTCCAGCTACCCCTCTCCCATCACCTCCTACCCCTCTCCAGTGTCTTCATACTCCTCTCCAGTCACCTCCTGCTACTCCTCTCCTGTCCACACTTCCTATCCGTCTCCCTCCATCGCCACCACCTACCCATCGGTGTCCATGTCCACCACATTTCAGTCCCAAGTTGCCTCCTCCTTCCCGTCCTCGGTTGCATCAAACATCTACAGCTCTCCCATCCCCACCCCGCTGTCAGACATGCAGACCACCCTCTCCCCAAGAACAATCGAGATCTGTTAGAAAAGAAGCAGAAAAAACTTTTATACTCTGCTTCTGCAAGAGATTTTTTTTTAAAGAGGGTAAAGAAATCAGCATCAAAAGGACTTCGTTTTCTTCCTCCAAAAAGCACTTTCCTGCTCCCCGTGCAGGTGAATCCTAAGATTTGCCTGAAAGATAAAATCGAGACACGTGTCAAGGACCAGGCAAGGACAATACAACTTGAGAAGGGATTTTTTTTCCTTTCTTTGTTTGTAAAACAAATAGAGCACTTCAAATGTATAAGGGACTTCAGAAACAGGGAGTAGAAAGCAGCTCTGACGGGTTTGTGCTATTAGACCCCCTCAACAAAAAGACAAACGCAACAAACAAGCGAGAGACACAGACTGCCAGCGTTGTAGTGCTGAAGCACGTCCGTCCTTGAGGCATTCACTTAAAAGACATTGAATAAAATACATAAGCTATGTATATTGTACATGTGCCATGTTTTGTTCTATCATTCTTTGGTACCACTGATGTGAACAACTCTTTGCATATTGCATTGTATTATTTGAAGTGACCGAGGCCATATTTTCTACATACTTCTTCTATTCTGTAGTGATGATGCTGTGACACGTTTTGACATTGTTTGCAAAAGAAAAGAAAAAAAACAACAACAAAAAAACAAAAAAGAAAAGCACTTAAGTATTCGAGCATGAGTAAGAGTGACGTTACTTTCTGTTTGTAAATATCATTCCACTGGTACTATCTCCTTCTCACATGTGACATATCGCTTGGTTCTATAAAAAAAACAGAAATAGTAAAAAAAAAATTTTTTTTTTTTTTTTTTGTTGGAAAAGACAAATGAAACAAGACTCCTGTTATTCGGTGCCTTTTGTGAAGCCTTGCAGATGTTGTGACTCGGCTGAACGTGAGAAGAGGATGCACTGCATCTCGCCTTAAGGGTTGAGGGAATATTTTTGTTACAGAATGTAGTGGGGGGAGAGCAAGACAACAAACAAACAGAGGATTTGCTACGAGGGCACCGCTTCATTTTGTCAGAATGTAAGCAAAAAAACGAAAACAAAAGGATTAAAAAGTATAAAAGTATATTTTTGTAAAACTTACATGTAAATATCCACATCTTCAAGAGCTGGAATGTTGAAGTTACCTACTGAGTAGGCATGGGATTCTTTTGTATGTTATTTACATGCAGTTCATTATTTTGTGGTTTATCTTTATTTTGTATTTGTGTTTGTTAAAACAAGTGACTGTTTCTGGCTTCTAAACACATTGAATGCGCTTAACTGCCAATGGGATATTTGGTGTACAAGATATCCTCCCAGAAATAAAATATAAATAAAAACATAAATATATATGATGCGTTGTTTCCAGAATTTATTCCTCAACTTCTGTTTTTAAACATTTTATTTGCCATCATCACATCACTTTTTTTTTTTTATACGTCACATTTCTTATCATTAATCGCAAATCATCAGAATTATAGCATAGCTTCACATGACAGAGGGACCATGCTTTAATTTATGGAAAGCATCAAACTTCACTTCCATCTTTATTTTCTCTGAGCAAAATAATAGATTAATGATAACACCAACATGCAGCAGTAATCTCTGAAGATGAGCAATTTCCTATCTGGATGTATCCTCTTGAAGATATTCCGCTTATCAAAATCTCAATTTTATTTCAGATTTCATGATGCACTCTGGATTAAACACTCGTCCCTCGATTTAATCTGTGTGCTGACAGAGAAACTGCCTTTAGGTGGGGTTATGCTCTTGTCCTTATGCATGCTGGGTCATTTTCAAAGGCTGCAGGTGAAATCAGCAAGACATGTAATTGCCCTCTTTCTCACGAATAACGAGTGAGATCTTAGTGAGCGAGTTCATTTCCGTGCACTGTTCCCCAAAGCTTTAAATTGTGTGTTTGGATTTTTAAAGCAGGGTATGAGAGTTTCAGCGCAGCATCTTTGTTCAGCTGCCGGTGAGTTCCCAAGGCAAAGGAATTCTCGTTCCATGTTTAGAAACGAGACGGCTCGTAATTCTTAGCCGACATGAACCCCCTTCTTCATGAGCTTTGCAGTAATTTCATGTTGCGAAATGCACAAACCAAAGCACTCACAAATGCAAACACAGCTAAAATAGAACGCAGGAAGAAGAAGAAAAAAGTGAAGATGAGAGTGAAGGAGGGAAAGAGAGGATAATTAAGATAATTGGTCTCTTGATCCTGAATTTCCAAACAGAGTCAGATAAGTTGTGTTTTTATTAGTGTGTGCAGGAGGCTGGAGAGTAACTGACTTACATTTATTCCATTCTTCTCCGTTTCTGGGATGAAGCTCAGTGTTCTTCTATTCTTATTGGCACCACTTTAAGGCTGCCCTTATAGATAGTTACTAAATAGTTTATAGATACATCATTAATTCCTCTATAAACACTTTATGAATAATTAATAATTGTTTATTATTCATTAATTAAGGGTGAGAAAGAGACAAAACTGACCTGTTTCTTGCCAAATAGTGAGTCAAATCTCTTTCTATATATTTCATCTAGAATTGTTACATTAAACATTTCAGACTAAGTTAATACCTTGTGAGCACAATAAGCATTTGTAAACCTAATTTTGTTAGAATATAAAATTGTTCTTTATCACTGCATTATAAGTATGTTAGTTGTAGTAACTTATACTGCAGTGATAAAGTACAATATTATATGCTAAAAAATAGGTTTGAAATACTTATTGTGCTCACAAGGTAGTAACTTAGTCTGAAATGTTTAATATAATAATAACAACAACAACAACAACAACAACAACAACAACAACAACAACAACAATTATAATATACTAATAATAGATACTGTCTATAGGGCTGACATATTGTCCAGTTTTAAGACTTTCCTTTTTGATAAATCCTATAGTTAGGGTTGGCTTGTTATAATTTTTGTTAAAATTGAATAGATTTCATTTGATATTATTTCTATTTTAACATGTGATTCTTGACCTGCCATTGTGTATCTGTTCCTCCTTCCTGTTCCTGTCAAACCCAGCCGGTCGAAGCCGATGACCGCTTGTCCTGAGCCTGGTTCTGTTAAAGGTTTCTTCCTCATGAGGAAGTTTTTTCTTTCCACTGTCTCCTTCATGCTTGCTCAAGATGAGAGTTCTGTGATGGCGTTAAACTCAAAGCAGTCTACTCCTCAGATAAATAGTGTTAAATTATTATTTTTATGTATGAATGTTTCTGTTCAGTGCCCTGAGATGACGTCTGTTGTGATTTGGCGCTATATAAATAAACTCAATTGAATTGAATTAAATAACAACTCTAGATGAAATGTGAACAGATCTGGCTCACTATTTGGCAAGAAACTGCCTGTCACCCTTAATTAATGCATAATAAACTATTATTAATGATTTATGAAGCATTTATAAAGGAATTATTAATGTATCTATAAACTATTTATTAGCTATCTACAAAGGGAGCCTTATTGTAAAGTGATATCTTTTTATGTATTTTTTGGGTGAACCTGAACACACTCTGTGTAAATGTATGCATCAGCCAAAACAGAAAGAAACAGCCGAAAATACAACATTAGTTCATTTTCCTGCATGCCACCTACACCACTGTCGCTCTTTTATAAATATTTGAAGTGCACGCACACATAAGTGGAGCGCATCACACAAATCAGCATCGCAACGATATAAATCATCTTGATGTTTAAATGATGACTCTTCTTACTTCGAAGCTTATCGAGCTCTTTAGGGAAAATCTCAAGACTTCTTGTGTGGCTTTAAAATGAGAAAAATAAGATTCTGTCACGTCCCGTCATTGTTTGTAGTATTATTTTGGTGGCTGCCAGCAAATAAAGAGCCATTCAGCAGCTTTTGCTCTAAAAACTTTCTCATATTGCCACACTTTTGGAAAGTCTCGATGAGAAAACCACAGACTGTGCTCTCTCAGCCCTTTTTCATAGTTAAGAGTATTTCACCCACTGTTAGTCATACATGGGGAGGCTGCGGCCTGACTTGGAGTGCGTAAACAGAACACAAGAACTTCAGGCCAATATTGCTGAAAGCCTGCGTGTCCTGTCACATCTTCTGATTTGAAGCTCCTTATCAAAGCTCACGTGCTGGGTGTGTTCGGTTTGGGGAGACGTCAGAGGAGTGAGAACAGATTTTGGGGGTACGGATGAGTTGTGGTTTCACTCCGTTGTAACCCACAGTGGATCCACCTCACACACCCAGCGGGCCTCCACTTCAAGAGCTCCTGCCTTTGTTCAAAAATCTATTTGTTCTCATATTCTTTTTGGGAACTTTGTAAAACAGAAAGAAATGAACATGGTAGACAATCGCTCCATCTCCCACAGCCCTCGGAAACCTCACTGCCACCTCAGTCTCTCCTCTTTTTGACTGTACCTCTCTCTCTTTCTCCGTGGTAATGCATATTTTGCTAGGCATGCTAATGATCTTCCCCTGCTGTATTCTGATGCAAGGTCTGTCTACACTTTTCTCTTTCATCCACATACAAATGTGCTCTTATTGCCTCTTCGCCCTCGGGCCTTTTAAGATGCCTTTTTGAAATATGCCGTTTGATAAGCACATCATTGGCCAAGTCCCCGCAGTGATTAGAGCTCACTTTAATGTGAGCAAGTTAGAGAGCAAACGAGGGGCTTTGGGGCCGGCAGCTATCCATTCTCCGCTAACGTCACCCCTTGACATCCCCTTTCTCCTGGTCCACTGGGGAGAACCCAATGCAGAGACCCAAATCCTGGCTTAAACACTGCTGGCCTTCGCTCATCTTTCATCTCGGACACGGAGATTAAGAAAAAGGATGAATTACAACGGAGGATCGCCTTCTTAGAAAAGTGACAGTGTATGCTGGAAGGCTTGAGGTTTCTGTGTTTTATCACACAAATGTGACAGCAGCGCTGCTCTCTGTTGCCTTTTAAACGTGCTTCGTTGACCTCATGTTCAGAGCATCACTCTGCCTCGCTGGGACGGCGTTCTAATCTTCGGAAACCCAACCATAAAGTTTCCTTTACTTCTGTTACAAATGGTTGGCACAAATTTGTTCTCCACTTCCAGTTTATTTTGGTGGCATTAGTGTTTCAATTCAATTCAATTCAATTTCAATTCAAAAACACTTTATTAATCCCAAAGGGAAATCAAGTGTTGTCGTAGCTCGTCATCCTGGTTTCATTCAAGAGTTATAGATGCTGATAGCTGTGGGCAGGAAGGATCTCCTGCAGCGAATCCGAAGAATCTGGCCACAGATACCGATCCATCAACCCTGATCCAGCTTGCTGTCAGATCCGGTGGGCCTCTCGGTCCTCCTGGGCAGCAGGACTTTCCGAATGCTGGACAGAATTCCTCCTTGAGCGATGGTCACTCTTCCTAGCAGTCTGCCAAGCTTCTTGTCACCACAAACAGACAGCTGAAGGTGCCGGGGGATGATCCCGGTCCTCCTATTGTCATGAGTTGAGTTTCCAATCAGCTCCAGGATCTTGGCGGTCAGGTACTCGAGCACCGCCACCAGGTTGATGGGAATTCAACCACGGCGCCTCCTTTTCAACTCATTTGGGATTTGGGGCCGTAGATGAGGTATTTGAGTTTTTGAGATGTTAATCAGCTGGTTGTTAAAAAAAAAAAACACCTTGTTGCCATGGTTACGCATCATAACAAATGCCCAAAAGTAAAAAAGTTTCAGTAAAAATCCTTCCAGCTGCACATCATCCGATACCAGAGGAAGTAAGCATCTGAAAAAAGCAATTTACATCCAGAAAAAAGAGGCATTAAAGTTTTCAAAAGCAATAACTCAGAACGAATGTAACAGAGCTGCTCCAACATGCA